AGAGAGAGAGAGAGAGAGAGAGAGAGAGAGAGAGAGAGAGAGAGAGAGCAAGAAAAGACAGAGCTAAACGTTTAGAACTTAATCAAGATACATTTTTAACCATCTACTTTGCTTATTCTTGAACATACTTATAGATATTAGCATTGGAGCACAGAGGAGACACACGAGTCAAACATTTCTCACAAACACCCACAAATAATTGTCCACATCATAAGAGAACAGACACACAGAGTAATTGTTGGTTGCCGGCTGGTAGGCAGCATCCGGTGCTTTGGAGAAAAAGGAAGTGTGTATCTTTATAACAAGCTCTCTGAAGGAGGGAGGATTGCAGTGAGGTGTTGTAGCTTTTGATCTTTTAACAGCTGCTAGTGTTGCAATTTTTAAAACTCCTACTGGAAAAAGTTGCTCAGCGCGAACTTTGTAAATGTTTTCATCATCTCCCGTCTAAGCTCCATAACCTTCCAGTTATTAATGACTGTATTTCCCCTTTGTCAGCAGAGTAATAATAACAACAGCCCCCTTTTGGCATGCACCATGTGATGTAAGCTGAAACATGCTGATTGTGAACACATATGGTATGCATCCACACGTATAGACTGAGGAGTCAGCCTCGGCAAGTTCTCCCCACCCCCACCGCTCATTGTGTGCTTTTCTCTCTCTCTCTTTTTCATGTAAGCCATCCTTTTTCTCAAAATTCTTATTTCTCATTCACTTCTTTTGGGTCCAACTTTCATTGTGAAAGAGAGACCTGGAACAGTACGATACAAAGATGCAGACGTAAAACAAGTGTACAAGCCTGTAGATTTACAACAGCTGCCAAGGGGAGGAAACCCTGTTAAAAAAGAGGATTGTTTTATTGCCGTTTGACACATAATCCCAAACAGTACATGCAGAGCGCAAGACTCTGAGCTGCAACGCTCTGTGTCTGGAAAAGACAGAGACAGCAAGATGGTTTTCGCTTCAGCATTCCAGGCAGGAATGGTTTATTTTTGTTGGAAACATAATTGTCTGTGGCTAGGATTTGGAAGTACACGTTACCCGCCAAACTGCCAGGAAGTGTACATGTGGGTGTTACCGCCCTCTTATGGTGACCTAATGAATTGGAGTTTTGCACAATACAAAGCAGTAGAGTAAACTTGGAGGGCCGAGATGTTTTCTTCCCCCCAGGGTGTTGACACAGTGCAAATGTGCTATGCTGTCACAAGGCCTGATTTCATTGAGAGAGCACAATGGAATTAAACATTGCATAGAAAGAAAGTTAGAAAAGCGAAAGTCAGAATGAAAAAACAGTGGGAACAAGCCATATACTGCTTTCATGGATCAGAATAGAGCTAGTGTTTTGTTCAACTACATAACTGCAGGATTTACAAAATATGACTTAACAAATGTGTGTCAAGAGAAACATTCTGTTCAAAGTCCTAAACAATGCGGAATAAAAGGATATCGCTGAGACTTAATGGATTAGTCCGATGTTTTAGAAAATATACTTAATAGCTTTTTTGGTGAGAGTTACATGTGAAGATCCCTAACACCGTCATGTCTGTGCAGTAAAGCTCCAGAACTGAACGGTGATAGTTTAGCTTAGTACAATGACTGGAAGTAGGGTAAGGCAGCTACTCTGCCTGTCACAGATAAAAGGATGTATTAAGACTCCATACAATCCCAAAGTGGCTAAAACTGCATATACAGCAGGTATAATGAGCATTGAACACATTACCAAATCCCATGCAGACTGTTTTTGTGTGAAAGAATGGGCCAGTGTCACACCTGAGCAATGCAGCTTCATATACAGTAGGCAAACAATGTAGCTTCTTCTTACAGGAAGCTGTCATCACCAACAAAGGCTTTTGTACAAAGTATGAAATACATTTCAGTAAATGTATTCAATATGTTTTCCCTGCGTCTTTTCTCATTATTAGACATAATTTCTAGACAACTATGATTTGATTTCTTTGCATGTGTGGATTTGATGGGTTGTTAATGACAGTCGATGAGAACTTCATGCCAATAGCAGCTTTAGAAATATATTTACTCAGAAAATTGGTGATGTTTTCAATACTTCTTTTACATGCTGTAAATTAGAATTTTTCTCTGTGTCGTTTGAACCTATGCATAGACAGTTGCATTGTGAAACCTTTTACACATCAGATTGAATGGATGGATGCTTTGTCAGTATCAGAATTTTTGCTGCTGCCCCCAAATAGTGCAAAAAGTTGTACTGTATCTGTAGCAAATATACTCAATATTTGGCATTGAAATGTTCTGTACACTCAGTGATCTTTCTAATATTTTACTGTATTAGCGGTTATATTCGTCTTCTATGTAAATGTAATTATAAAGCTACATTACTTGGAAAAAATGTGACATGTGGAGGCCTTTCTGTGCGTTTCGGTGGGGTTTTTTTTTCTCTTACAAGTCAAGGAAGTGCAAGTTGGGGTTATCAGTTATTTGAAATTGCCCATAGATGTGAATGTGATCATAGGCTAACATTGTCATGTTCTTATTCCTGCGATGGCAGATGGTTTCATGAAGTTTTTAGTCATGAACCAGTTTAGCTGTATTGGGGGAGTGAGTCAGTAGTAACATGTGGTTCTCTGTGACCATTAACCACCTGCAAGTTTACTGCATGGGAAAAAATGATAAGAGTGCAGATGTTCTGTGTTCCCCCAATGACATCTGATCTGGAAGAAACTATAAAATATAAACCTGGGGGCCCCTTTGACATATAGAAAAACACCCTAACAGCTAACTCTGTTGCTGAATAAGTATGTGGTGGTTACCTACTTGGTAAGCTACCAGCCTAATTCTTATACTAACACACAATCTATGACAGAAAATCACAAAAGTGAGATTAACAGCTCAGCCCAGGTGTGCATTGCTCCCCTACAGAGGTGGCCATGGTCTTGTCCACCCTGAAAAAACTGTCCAAGAGTATTAAAGGGTCACTTATCAGTGCTTCAACTCAGAAAAAGGAGCTAAAGATTTTGCCATCTAGTAAAAATGTGGACCTTCTTGGTGCTTACTCTTACCCTCGCTCTTAGGCTATCCGAAGCTAACAATGACACAGTAGGTGAAGAAAAGCTCGTTATAGCCAGAGCTAAACTGCTGGTAAGTATAGAGCAAACTCCTGTGAAGTGAAAAATTAAATCTACACATAATATTCAAAAAACAAGTGAGGAAATAGTGTGCATGGTGATGGATAGGTCTTGTGCTGTCATGGCAGTTTATTTTCTGCTGTAATGTGACACCTTTTTTGTCACCTTTGATCACATAAAGAATGAGATATGTACACTCCTCTTTGTCATGCTGTTTTAACAAATGTCTCTTGTCATCCCTGCAGGCTCCCAGTGTGGTCGGATGAAGCATAAAGAAAATGCCTGAGCTCTATCATTTTCTCATGGAGCGAATGGCTTTATAGTATCCTTGTATTGTTTTCATGTTCCTCAGGATTCTTTGCTAAGCTGTGAGCTTTCCACAAAAATCACTACTGATTTTCTCATGACCTCTTTTGTAAACAAAACAGTATTCCTAGCAAGCTGCCAAGTTCAGTGCCAGCTCTGTGAGCATTCCAAGTAAAAAAATCATGTTAAGTGAGCCTAAAAATAGCGAAACAGATGGATATGCCTTGTTCTTCACAACCCCTCCTACCTGTTTTCCTTGATCTGCTTTTTCCTGTGTAGCCACAACTTGGAATATGATTCATCGGAAGAGAAGAAACCCCGTCTGATATTCTACAATGAAAAGGATGAGATTGTTAAGGTGAGAAGTGAGTACAGGGACCTTTTATTCCGCTGCCTTGTGATGGAGCTTATCAAGAGATGTCAAACAGGATTCATGTGGGAAAGTTTCAATATTACTTCATGTGATATCAGATCATCTGTCAGATACCAAGAAAGAGGATGTACTTGAATGAGAGTTAAAAATAAATACATACAGTATATGAACTTGGGATTCTGAGAATGGAGCAATATTTTTTGTACCGAGACAGGAGAGTTGATGTGACTTTGAAAATTGTGTGCCTTGAAAGCACTTCTCACAAGTCATTTATTTTTCCAGGGTAAAAAACCCCCGTTGCAGTTATTGCCCAATTAGCCTCTCCATTAAAACCAATAAAAATGAATTTTCTTAATGCTGGCCTACATCGAAAAAGAGCCAGGTATTACTGCTTTCTTGAGTAAAGCCTTTTAAATTTTCCATCTAAAGCTTCGTTTAGAGGCTAAAGTTTTTCTAATGTGGCTTCTCTGGGAGATTATAATTTGACTTTAGGTAAGGAGAAACAAAAAAAAATAGCTGCATCCTCTAAATCTATAGTGGCTAAACACTTCCAATTAAAAACAGGGGTTTAGTAAATCATGTTATATCTACATATACAGCTAATATACAAGCATTACTGCCTTTAACCACGTTGTGAACCAAACATGTCTGCCCTCCTGTGTATGTGTATGTGTGTGTGGATCAGACTGTTTCTGTGAAGAAAATGAAGGCAGACGAGATCAGCAGCTTGTTAGACTCACTCGGCTTCTACAAGAGGTCCAAGAAAGGGGAAGAGGTGCCAGAGGAGTTTCAGCATTTTCCCCTGCGCGCCCCCAGGGACGAGCTGTGATGACACCTTGTGGCCAAACTCTGTCTCTGCACCATGGTCACAATAATGACGAGTGAGGCCCAAAGGCCAAAATAAGCCAGGCACCACTCTGATGACTCGCTGGCCGGGTGCATTGAGCAGTGTTATGTCATTGTGTTTATCTGCAGAATTTAAATAAAAAGACTATAAAATACACCAAAACCTGCCAGAGTGAACCTTCGCTTTAAATATGTGTACAAAGAATGTAGAATTTTCAAACATACTGCAAAGAGTACGTGCAACTTTATCTCTATAAAGTTTAAGTATCTGCTGAATTCCCTAATTAGAAAATCAAATTATCATCCTAGATGGACACTAACTTCAAGTAAGCATGCAACTGTTTCAGGCTAATCTTCAGCCCGCCTCCTTCACAATAATCAGATTAGCAGTAGCATCTGCCAGCATGTGCCTTTATGTGTCCACTTGTATCTCTTCTAGCCTGGTATTGTGCGATTGATTAACTTAAGACAAAAATGAGCAACGGATACTGAAAACATATTTTTGGAACTGTAAACCTCCTGACTCCTTGGCTCTGTCATGATCACCACCTCTGTCAACAATGCCTGTGTTTTACTCACCTGTTCCCGAAAACCTGCCGCTGGGTCTGGTGTCTATGGGAGGTTCTGTGTTCACAAACAACAGGACAGCAGACAGTGACTTCACCAGGGAGCAAGAGGATGCATCTGGTTAGTTTGTGCTTCCAAAGACTGTTTGGAACTTTAGTTTAATATGTTCACTATACAGCACAATGCTATCTCGTACTGGAGAATGTAAAGGCAGAGATCAGAGATTGGACAAGACATCTTATGACTTAATTCTCAAGTAAATCACAGTGCGCAGATTGCTTCTTTTTAGATCTGTTGTAACGTCAGCTATTAAAGGGTTTTCTTCGTTTGGTCAAATTTCACTTCAGTTTTTCAACTTAATGTTTTGTGCACTGTTATTTGTCTTGCAGTGGTCAACGAGCTGGTTTCTCACCTCCCCCTTCAAATGCTCCTGTATTTCAATATGTTTTATTTTCCCTGTTGGTGGTTTTCAGCTGTGTTCATGCTGGAAGTAAAGGTTAGTGCCAAAGTAGTCCATGAAACACACACAAGAGAATAGAAGTATTCCTCTTGAAGTCAACAGTTCAGGTTTTGATCAACCGAATCTATTTACTAAGCCCAGTGTATCAATTGGAAAACTTTTGACTTTGGCTCCATCTAGTGGGGACTTCAAAATGAACACTAAGCCTCCTCACATAAACTCAGAAGAGGCACAAGCAGTGAACTCAACATCCACTGTCTTTTTGAAAAATAAAACTTGTTTCATCAATATTTTTGAAAAGAAAAAGTTTACATAAAAATCTAACATGTCTGTGTACACACACACACACACACACACACACACACACACACACACACACACACACACACACACACACACACACACACACACACACTCCTTGATCATGCTCATTAATTACAGCCCTTCACTTTTGCCAGTTCTACTATCTTCCTGGGTACTATCAAGCTCTGCTCATTACTGGGATGATCCTACTAACGGTCATCGAAGTGGTTCGACTTTATCTAGGCTACACTGGCAACCTCAAAGAAAAGGTATTTCAAATTTATATCTTGCACTGAACTACATGAAGCTCTTTTATGAAACCTGAAAAAACACAGAGGAGGAAACTGCAGAGTTTTCTACCTGCTTGTGGCTACAAGTGCCTACTGAGTTTTAGTGAATGTGTGTCTTTGCTTTTATGTGGATTCAACCAGAGCACTTGATGGATGACTGCTGCATCTTTTCATCGTTTGTGCGCGCCAACCCAAATTTTCTCTCTTTTCCTTCCTGTCATCAGGTGCCAGAGCTGGCAGCCTTCTGGCTCCTGTCTTTCATGTTCCAGCTGCCAGTGCTGCTGTTCTTCCTGACCGATGAAGGAATTATCATCCTGCCTCTGGAGAGAGCTGTCCACTCCCTCTATCTCCTCTTCCTGCTCGCCCAGATCCTGGCCTCCTTCTTGGCACTTAGAACCATGACCCGAAAGCTCACCCTGCTCTTCCATCTGCGGCAGCTTGGCAAGGTGGACAGCTTCCACCACACAGGGATAAGCCCAGTATATGGGCTTTCTTATCACCGCAGTGTGCTGCCAGTGTCAGCCACCCAGGATATCTACAATTAAAGCAAACATCCATCCTTTCCTAATAACATAGGTATCAAATCTAGTGTTGTAGGAACCACATATTTGAAACTTTCCAGAAAATCTTCAACAGCTGCCAAAGCATGAGTGTGAGCATTCATTTATTATTTAAAAGAAAGCATTTAGAAACCACCTATTTTGTAAAACTCTGCTCTGCGGGTCTGCGTTTATTATGACTGCATAGAATTCAGAACTTTTTAGGCCACTGTTGTGCTGAAATTTGGGTGCTCTAGATCTTTCTGTATGGCTTTTGATGGTGTATAAAATGACAGACCTTTGAAAAATAAAATAAAAATCACATATTAACTCTGATGCCACATTCTGACATTTACTGATGTTTTTAAAAGATGAAAAACAACATTTTAGCCCAAGCCTCAATGTCAAAACTTGATGCCATGTCAGCCAAACTGTCATGGAGTGACACATTTACAGGGGAATAAGGTAAAACACGCCATCAAACAATAAAATTAGATCAGAAATACACGGCAGTACAGTGCTTGTGGCTGCTTTCATCAGTATTATAGTGTTTCCGTTTTTTCCCTTTCCTTTCTTAATGATGATGGATGATGGAGCCTGTAGTGTTGGTGGAACGGAATTATTTTGCCGAGGCAGATTACCTTCTTGCCCACAAGAAAAGTTGAGTCTCTCCCCAGGTATATTTCAGCCTATTTCTGGGAGGACTGTGATACGTCAATAAAAAAAGGTTTCTAATTTATCTCAGTCATGGCTACAGGATGCCGTATTACAATCTGATAAGTGGGTTGCAGGAATCAAATTTTTTAAACCTTGTACAGTAAAAGAGTGTAAACTGAATTGCAGCAGAACTGTGTTAAATATTTATGACCACATAGTGGCAGTCAGTGACCAAAAGAGGGATGGGGGATCATCTGACAGTGTTGCAAAGTCCAATGAGTATAGATTATTATGCACCACATGTCCTGATCAGGAAACCCTCTGGCAGAGAATTAAAGGTTAGCCCTGTCTACATTCGGAAATGAGGTTTTTTTTTTAATCGTTTTTAACTCCAAGTCAAGTATACATGAAAATCAATAACATCATTTTAATTGTAACCTCTTACTTCTAATTGTCATTGTATATGCCTGACTGGTTTTTAAAATAACATTGTTGTGTGATTTAATATTTCTTTCCTGGTGAGAAATTATTTAGGGAGTGGTGCATTAAACAGATAAGAACCCGGTTACTTGAGAGACACAGTTTCTGTGATACAACATGCTTATTCTGCTCTACTTTACATTCAGGAAACAACAAGCTGCAGTGGTTGCTGCATGGTTCATGGAGAGGAGGAAATAGAAAAACCTTTAGAGGGTGGAAATTATGCACTGTATGCAGAAGCAGATGCGTAAACGATACCCTAAACATAAGCTTGCATATTACTGCATTTTTTAAAAAAAAGGATTTGAACCCCTCCCCTCCCTAAGAATTCAAGAGTTAGTTGAACATAAACTGTAAAGCCATAAGTTGTATTTATGTATTTATGTAACTTTAGAGAGTTTAAGGAAACAGCCATTAGTACTGATAACGAAACAGCTTGGTGTGGTGTTTCCACCACAACAGCAAAATAAAGTAAACCACTGATAAAAACAGAAAAAAGTAGTTTAGTCATGATTTTATTATTAGCAGCAGAATCTAAACCCATAAAAAGGAAATAATTTAAAGCTGCTGTCATCTGCAACAGCATAAATATGCACCACACAAGTGATTTATGGCCATATTTAAACATGCAAACATGTGTCCCTGCATCTTTGTAAGCATCTACCTGCACAATATATTTACACACAGTGTTTAAGTGGGGATTCTTTTAAAGACTACAGAAGAAATAATTACCATGTCAACCCTCCGGCATCTTTCTTTTTTAAGTCTAACCAGTGACTTGAGGGGTGATGAGCGTGTGTAACTGAAAGTTAGAGCATAGGTTTTTGATAGGAACGTGCATGGACATCTCCATTTATGCCGGGTTGTATCATTAGTCTCTCACTTCATCACTTGATTAGGTTCACCTGCCTGCCTGCCCAGCTGCACCTTGGAACCCATTAGTTTTTCTCAGTTTTTATACATTGGGTAGTGTTCAGTCCCAACTGTTTGAACTAGTGATGCATCTGCTGTGATTATGTGTTCCAGCATTCACACCTCAGACCATGTTTCATGCTTTGACATTTGAACACTAAAAGTCACTGTCATAAAAATAATCGTACATGAATTCGTTGTGTTTGGCTGAATGATTACAGTGCTGAAATTTGTTTCCTTCAGCACTAGGAAAAAAAGAGTTTGAGTAATTTGTCATTACTTTGAATTCCTCCCACATTAACTAGACAATTGTAGAGAGTAGGAGCTGATTGTGGGCTCTATGCTGTTTTGAGTCAGATTTTAAAGAAGAACTACTGTATTACTTCATAGCTTTATAGAACAAGTCAATTCATGTGCACAGTGATAAATCATGTTTATTGTCTTTATTCTCCTCAGTAAAGTCAAAGAGGGACAAAATGATTAGAGAAAAGGTGGAGTGAAACTATTAAGAGCTTTTTTTCAATGTATGTATTTTTGCCACAAAACATTCTCTGTGGCTACTAAAAGATGTAGTACAACAGTCTTGTTTTCATCTTTATTTTAGCATCATGTTCAGACTTTCCATTCTCCAGAGAGTACTTCATGTTCATCCTACTTCTCTAAATATCTGGTTTTAATTATGAACTCCTATTAGGTGCTGCAGACCGAGATTATTCAGCTGGTGGGGAAGAAATGAAATAGAAATCACCCCCCTGGAGACACAGTGGTCACATCTGAAGCAGCTCCTTGCACCTTTTCCCTCATCAAATTGCCTTTCTTTAGCACGCACCGAACAATAGCCTTTAATAGTCTTGTTGCATTTTCTTTTTCGTCTCACTAAACGAATTGCTTGCCTCATGCTTTTTATGCTCTTCTGCAAAAGTTTTCTTCTTCCCGTCGTGTCCAAAATTCAGCAGCATAGCTCATCGTC